AGTTAAGAAGGAGAAAGAGATTGAATAATTTGAGAGTAAGAATCAGGTAATGATTCAGTATCGTTCATTTTATTTAGTCCTTGTTTCTGTCTTTTAATGTGAATCATTTCAGATACTAATCTCTTATTATAAGAAGACTCGCAATCCAAAATTCTCACATCATCCCATTTAAAATTGTGGTCTAAATTGATACGATGATCGGTTATAACAGTGGGAGAGCCAGTGTTCCTTCTAATATCTAATAAGAAAATTAAGTACGAGAGTACATGAACATAAATCGGAAGGATAAATCGGAAACATAAATTAGAATAAACGGTTGAGCATTTGCCACACACTAGATCTTGTTAGTGAAATATCATTAATATATTCGTATATAAAATTAAAGAATTACAATAATTATGTCAGATATAATAAATCAAAGTATAAACGTTTCGGCCCTGAATGTGGCCATCTTCAGTATAAATAAAAATAATATATAAAATTATAAAGATATAAGAATTACAGAATAACGGTTACAATTAGAATATATAAAGTTTTTTAATTGTCAATGTATAAAATAACTCAATTTAATGTTATTGAGTATTCAGTCGTAAGATGAAATTATTAATTATAAATTTAAGTAGTGTAGTGGACCATGGAGGTGGGAGCGTATGGGTGCACAACTTTGGTGCACCCTGATGAAATGCCGGGTAGGCGTTACCTAGGTGTGTTCAATGTGGTCTTACGGAAGTGCTAAATAGGGGAAGTTTTTTAGCAGGTAGGCGATGATGTCAGTTGTCCTTCCTTATAGGAGGGACGCCGACTCATCGAATCTTGCACAATCAGGAGACCGGCTCGTGGGTCTCTTCCACTCATTCGGTTAGGTTCTCTTTCGGGAACATCCCGGATGAGGGGCTATGCGAAGATTTTTCTCCTCCTCGCAAACAAAAAAAATAAAATATATTCATACAATATTACAAATTTATTCTGTTGCATTCGAAATAAATATTAAAAGTCGTTTTAAAATAGGAGAGACGAAGAAAATATGGTTGCGTTTTCACAAGAATGGACGATAGAGGAGCCTATTCTTTATTTGAAATATATTCATCGAATATTAAGAATTCATTCTCTTGCAATTGAAATAAATATGTAATGTATGGTTAATATTGATTACAATTATAACAGTTACATATATACTATTAAGTATA